TTATTCACAGTTACAATGGGCAGGACAAGAACACATGGGAGTAAATTGCTGCACAAAAAAACTTATGTTAGACATTAGAAAAGCTCTCAGACACTAAGGATAATGTGACAAAATACACCTGATAGGGAGGCATTTACCATTGGGGGTCTTTAAGAAGAGGTTAGAAAAACATCTTTGTTTGGCGAAATAGTTTAGATATAGCTAATGGTGCCTGAGGAGGAGGAGAGGGAGTCCAGATTAAGGGTTTTTTAGACACCTCTCAGCCCTATTTTCCTGTGATTTTTCTATGGACAAGTTATCCCTACATCTACCTGCTTAATTTTCCCTTTCTGTAGTTCAGCAGTTCATTTGAGGCTTGTGGGAAAAAGCACATAAACAGTCTTGCGCCTCAGGCTTGCTATTTGGGATAAAGTCAGGAGTACTTGGGGAGCTGGGGAGCAATTTCTTTATTACAAACGTGTACACATATGAGTAAGGTCCTACCACCAAAACCAATGTAAATAGGTATAATTGTATCAAAGAACTCGAAAAATCATCATAATTTTAATTTTACAAATGGGGAATGCAGGGCACAGAGCTATGAACCATCTGTGATGACACAGCAAGTTATAAAAGCGAGCTTGAAAATTGGATTTCCTGGTTCCTCAAGTGACCTATCTGATGGACTACATGCTTCTCCTGCTCTCCCTCCCCTGCCTCCCTTCCCCCAGCAAGCCATGCAAGACTACAAGAATTGCAGCATTTCCTCATAAGTGTCTTGCCTGCAGCTGGGGGAAGTCAGACTACAATAGTGTTGGTAACTTGTACTGTAACAAGAAAACACATCACAAAGATGTTCATTACCAAGGGGAAAAAAGAAAAAAAAAAAAACCAGCAAAAACCTAAAGCTGCCTCGGGACTTGCACCTTGCAGAGCTGATCTCGGGCTGCCAATCACCATCTCCATTCTTTAACTTGCCTCTTTCTCTCTAACCTTTGACAGAAAGAACACATTCTTCTACACAATGATTACCTATAAATGAAAAAAAGAGAAGACAGAATAAAGGACACACTACTGATAAAGAACAGAACTGTTCTTTATACAAGCACAGAAGAATTCACAAGCGCTTGTAAGTGAAGTGTTGCCCCAGCCCACTCTGCAAAAGGAGCAGTCTAGCTCAGCGTTTGCCAGCCACTTTCCCGAGGCTGCTGTAACTTAAGCCTGCAGGAAATCAGAATCAGAGCCAAAGATTAGAACCGAAAATCTCTTACAACAAAGTATTATAAAGCCAGTGCCTGTCCTACCGCACTATTCCTTACCAGCCTGCACAGACTTCCATTTCCTACATGCCAGTGCTGGAACCCAAGGAGGACCCAGGCTTGAATCACCCACAGGAGGTCCTGCGTCTCACAACTGACTATGCTGAGACGCATCAGGCTCCAAACTCATTTTGAATTAATTTGCAAGAACTCTGGTAGCCTCTAAGCCCCATACATAGACCAAACAGCACTTGGATTCACCACTACCAGTAACACAAAACAAGATTTAAAAGAACTAAAGAATAAAAATAACAAACTAAGATTACATCAGGAATGCAAAAGTCAGAAACATCTCCCAAACAAATAAATGGCAATGTTTTAATTGGTGATTTTCTAAAAAACAAACAAACAACAAGAAAGGCTTCTGCGTCACTGGAATAAACCTAATCAAATTCTTTGCATGCTTAGGTCTTTCCTAGCTTATTCGAATGGCATATTTAACTTTTGATTTATAAATCAAGGGATATTGCTCACTGCCATAGATGCATTCCACTGGGGCTCAAAGTCTTTAGCAGATCCACACTGTGCGAACTTTCTCCTGATGGTTTCACATTCATGTTCATCAACACTCAGCGAGAACCATAAACAAAGCCCCTCTCTCAGATGCACACATGCAGTTCCCATTGACTTAGCTGGATTTTCAGCTGACTTCAATAAGAACTCAGTATGCATACAGAAGGGCAAAACTTGGCTCTGCACATTTAATAAAATTACATCACTAGATACCTTATAAATGAAGGGCATTGCAGGCCATACTGAAAAATAATATAAACTGAAAACCCCAAAGTGTAGCCAAATAAGTTGAAATTTCAGCCACGTTTTCCCAGAATAATAAAAAGGGCACCTATTTTAGGCAAGATGAAACAAAACTCCTGTAATATCTCATTTACAGAGTGTGCTCTGCCTCCTTTAGTAGGACAAAGTGTAAAACGTAGCTATCTACATAAGGCAATGATCTTGTCTCAGATATAGCAATGATATTGGCATATGAAACGATTAAGTAAAGGTCAAGTTACAAGCTGTGATTTGCTAAGTCATTTTCTGCATCTGTATCCCTGCTCTGTAAGTTATGAAGCTCATAGCAAAGGAATTTAAAGTGCACAGTAGAAAAAGTAATTAATCACATGACAATAATAACTAATAGTATATTATTTAGAATCTATTCTAATAGTGTATTTTTAAGATATCGAAGGCTTGAATCCAGGAGTATCTATCTGAAACCCTTTAAATCCTTTTTCCTGCTTGGCCAAAAGAACACCTCAAAAAAGATCCCACATAAACTAGGAACAACAATCCCCTTCCAAATTTCAGATGACATCTAGCAACACATAATTTCTGCCAGGTACATTAGCTAACACGCACTAAGCAAAGCAATGCCACATGTGTTTTCTCCAGACTTCTTCCCTTTATTTTACTTTTACTCATTCCATGATGTAATAAGCTGTGCCTTTTTACTGCCTCTTCAAAAGTATCTACCTATTAGGATGAAGAATACTCTGACTTTTAAAAATCCAGCTACCAACAGGCTTCCTTACACTTTCTGTATGGCTGACAAGCACTCATTAGCCTGCAATTACAAATTTATACAGAAGTACTCAGGGATGGAAGTCACAGAGAAGGCTTGGTGTTCATGTTTGGTTTTACCCCTCTAAGCAGGAACATCTCTGATGATTTTCACACTTAAATAGCAGAACAGATTTTATGAATCATTTTTTTCTTCCTGGTTGGAACAACCCCTATTCCCTGTTGCATTATAATACTGAGTCACTTTGCATAACGTTGGTCATTACGGCCAAGTCAAGTAAGCGAGGAAGGAAGTGGACGAAATGCTCTGAATTTACATATGCAATAGCATACGTATCAGGCCACTTCTTGAAGCAAATTATTTGAAATTAGAAAAAAAAAATCATCAGAAGACAACTTGCATAAGGGAAAACTATTTCATAGATATTGAAAAAGTCCGGTATATTTAATGTAATACTGAAGATCAAAGGGATTGTGAAGACTTTTTTTTTTTTTCAAGATGAAGCCAGGGTCTGGCCTGTTACAAATACTGAGTTGTACTGGTCATTCACCCTAGATTATCCATTAGGTTAAATAATTAGTGTGGTGGAATTTGTTTCTCCCAAACTACGGCACTGTCAGACGAATAGCTCCAAGCTCTGGTGGGGCTCCTCCGTTTCAACTTTCCCTCCCCTCCTAAGATCATGCCCTGACTCTGGCAGGCTGCGAGGATACTCGTCTGTCTCGGAACTCCTTCAGGTAGCTCAGTGACTCCAGGTCTACTCTCTGTTGGCTCTGGTGGGGCACGAGCTTCATGAATTTACAGCGTGCTATGAGGAATATCTATTTCAGATTAGCCTTTGCAATTTTGGGTTCACAATGGGGAACAGAAGGGTTCCCCCCTCCTCTTCCCTCCATCCAAGAGGAACAAGGCTGGTGCAAGGAGGCAGCTTTAACAACTTTTGTTCATTAAGTTTGGTTTAAACGCATAGCATGACTATTTGGTGAGCCAAATAAAACTAAGTACCTTACGTGATCATTTTTCAAGCAAGCTGATTTTAAAGAGTTAAGAGAGGAAAAAAAAAAAAAACCCGCAACAGAAAACATTGGCCAAAACCTCTGCTTTTCTGCATGTCCTGTTTAAGCAATGACACATGAAGAACTTTATGTTCAAACAATTACCTGGTACTTTAAATAGGACACTAAGGGAATAACATTTTAAAATGTATTCACACAGCATAAGACTAATACTCCTCCTGGGAATACGGGTGCAAATCAGAGTAACTCCTCGGAGGTCAATTGAAGTACACCAGCATAAAATAAATGTGAGGCAGAGGAGAATCAGACCCCATCTACCTCTATTTTAATGCAGAGGTTGCAGATCATCTGCAATGATAAAGTGAACAACATAAATATAACTGACATCTATTCAATTGATCTTACATCCTGCTGACTATTCACAGCTCCAAATATAGGGCTGAAGAACAATGGTTCGAGGGAGGAAGGCAGAAATCCTGGTTCTACCCCATTCACACATTCCTGTCTGCTAATACCTCCGACTCAAGCTGCCTTCCTCTCCCCACACTGCTAAATCGTTGTGGGCTTAATTTGACATTGTCCCCTGCTCCTGAAGAACAACTTCTCTTTATAACAAAATAAAACAAAAGAAAACAGGATGCATGAGAGAGAAAATAAATGCAAAAATCTGTGCAAGCAGGAGAACCTACAGACAAACAAGCAAGAAAATCCCTCTCTAATACACCGTATATAAAAAAGGCACTAGCAAATTGATGAATTATTAGGAAATGTGGCAGTGAGAAAGCATGATATGTGCCCAGGGGAGAAAGACTAAAATATGAGGCTATTACAAAGTATGGTGCCATTCGTGCTAATTTAAGTGGATCCATAATTATTTCCTACAACTTCATGATGTCCTGAACCAGCTTCCTCCTCCCCTGCCAGGCTGATAAAAGGATCCTTAGCAACACACTAAATATATTATGCAATGTATTGAATACTACCAAGAAAAAGCACTGAATTACACTGAAACAAAGAACATCAGGTGCACACATCACCACCTCCAGGGAAAGATCACCTTTAACTATTTATCACGTTAGCGAGCGCAGGCGTTCTCTTACATCTCTGTTACCAGCACCTAACGGTATTTGCTGCATTTAACAAAGTTAAGGCGAATTTTACCTCAAATCTACTTAGGCTCGAGCTCTTTGACCGAGACTTCTTGCGGAGATAGACGGAGAAGAAGCGACGCACTGTGAACTTCTTCATGTTCATGTCCATCGCCCCGTCCCAGCTGCGGCGCGGAGCACGAAGGAGCTGCGGCGCCGCCGGAGAAAGCTAGCGCATCCCGACGGCCCCCGATTTATATCCCCAGGCAGATCCTCCGGAGTCCCCGCTTCTGCTCATCCAGCCGGGCGCAGCTCACTGTGGCAGGGCTCTGGAGCCCCGGGAAGCTGCCGCTGGCAGTTGGGAGCATAAAGGCGTTGGGCTCCCTCTCGCTTCCCAGTGTTTACATTTCAGTACAGCGAGCCCAACTCTCTCTCTCTGCTCCCTCTCCCCCTCGCCTTAGGTCCTACTACACCCAATCAGGCTCTGCTGTGCCTGCGTGCATAATCAGCTCCGGCAGATGACAGCTCCCGCGTCCCAGGCGGAGCAGGTTTGAGATAAATATTAGATGTGTCTATTGCTTTGCGCTCCCCTCTCCCTCCTCAGTCAGGCTCTTTCAATTTCCTGGTTGCCGAATCACATGGGGAATAAGGCACATGCTGCACTTCTGTTTTTAGCTCGGAATTTCAACGCTGCTATAATTACTGAGGGCTACGGTGGTCAGATCCGAGAAGAAATCAGCTCCCGCACGGGAGTCTCTCCTGGGAGAAGGCTGAAAGACGCCATGAACCCACTGCCGGAGCAGGGGGGTCTGAACCTCCTTTTATTCTGAGGACTATACAAAATAACATACCCCCCCCTCTGGCCCCCCCGCCCTGCCTGAAATCAAAAAGCTAAAAATCCTGTTCACAGATTATCCGCCCGCTTTACATTGCAATACCTAACGCTGGCACAGTTCTGAAAATAGAAAGCACAATCTAAATGGTAAGTATTACTATTCTTACTGTACTACAGCAGGGAGCTTCAGCCCTTCTAAGAGGTTAAATATGTACATCTATTTACAGGCTGTAATTTTGAGCTGCTCACTATACTGGAAGCATGCAGATTTACAGCTGCCCCCCCACGCCCCCAACCTAATCGCTTTTTTCAGCTTTTCTTCAAAAACTAATGAATCTCAGTGTGATCCAGAGACTGAAGAGCTTTTTCTGCCTGCCGCACACAGCTCGGGCTCCTTGTCCTTGGCAGCCTTTCCTTTCTGACTACCAAGGAGCACCCAGATGTGCCTTTCTCCCATAACCTCATATGGAAAGTGAATGACTCTGATGACTTATTAATGACTCAGATAAATAAGCCCAGGGAGAGCTGACACCACTACAGCCTGAGAAGACTCTTGGAGGTTAAATGACAATACCATTCCAGTCAATCTGCTCTAAAAAGGAGACACGCATTTTGATTTGATTGCGTGTCTGGACTCTGCCACAAACAACGTTGGCTGATCATGCCTGTCACTACCTGCTTTGTTCACAGGTTCTCGGTCCCTCTATTCTGTCTAAAGCTCAGCACAATCTATATGTATCTGGAAAAAAAAAAAAAAAAAAAGAATACTTTGGCATTTATGCTTTCATCTAAAAGGAGGTCAGATTGGAAAGGCTACCATTAGCACTGGGGTCTGTAGTCTCCTACTGCCTGACTCTTCTGTGCCTGGACCACTGCTGTCTCCCCCACCCTAAGCTAACTGTAGCACAATGGCAGTCTGCTTTATCCCTTTCTCTTCCCAGTGCCTCCCTCTGATTGTTTCTCTATTCCTCTTGTTTTGCAACAAAAGTGTATCTTCTGGGGTTGCTTTCAAGGTGCTGCCCTGGTAAGCCATGTCATGCATAGGAGCCCTTTGCCAATACAGTTGTGTTGGTTCCTGCTTAAAGATCCCAGAGGGAAAGCAACTGACCCAGCAAAGGTATCTATAAGTTACACCAAAAACCCTTTCCACAAGCAAAAGAATAAACAAGTTCAGAGCAATTTGGTTGGTATGACTGGCAATGCCAAAATGATTTGCTGATGCAGCCTATCTAGTCAAGTTTCGTGTCTCCTTGGGACCTTGCAGCAGTAAAATCTGAAGTGGCAGAAAGGCCCCGGGCACTCACCTGACTACCTGACCTCCCTCCCTCCTCCCTCCCTTCCCTCCCACGCCTCAGGGCTGCCCATGCTGCTGCTTCCCCTGCCTGGCAGAGAGGTGCCCTGACACCAGCCGGGCCAGACTTCTTCCTGCTGACAAAGGCTTTTGGCAGCCACAGGCATTCCTACCTGTGTAAGCCGCTTGAGCTTTACATAGCAGTCAGACAAGTTCAGGGTAGTTCCCTGAACCCTTCCCATCACAGACGCAGCAGAACCCCGCCTGGACATTGACACCTCTGTTAATGTAGAGGAGGTGGTGATTTCCCAGCTTTAAATACACAGCGGGTGCGTATCCCGCTCTGCGTAATAATCAGCAGTAGGTGAGTGCCTGTTACGGCTGATACCAGCAGATTTATCACAGCCTTACCCTCCCATTATGCACGAAGTGCTTTCACATCCAAGGACATGCAGCCACCATTAAACATACCTGCTCTGTAAGAAACTTCCAAGAACATTACATGGGCTCTACTTTGGTTTGTGCTGCCCAGGGAAGAGGCTGAGGCACCATCCCTGGAGGTATTCCAAAGATGGGTAGGCATAGTGCTTAGAGACATGGTGGAGTGATGGCTTTTTAACAGAATTAGGTTGATGGGTGGACTAGATGATCTTAAAAGTCCCTTCCTACCGAGACAGTTCTATGATTCTATGAACTTAATACCTAACTATCTGGTACACGTATTACATTCAGAATTTTGTTCTTTACCGTGCCCTCTCCTCTTCCCTGCCCCCCCCACCCTGGTCTTTCCCCAAAATAATCAGTTATAATGTATTGGAAATTTATTGTAAACATCAGAGAAAAAGCTACCCTTTGATGCTAAAGGTTAGACTGCAAGATGAACAGCATGCCCAGACTAGAGAGCGAGTCTCTTACATCCCTGCCAAGACACAGGCATACAAATAGGCATGATCTCTTTGCTTTCTCACTCCACTTACTTTAAACCAGGTGATTGGGGATTAAATGCAGAAGGACAACCAACCACCAGTGCCAGGACACTGCTCTTCACCTATTGGGCAGCAGAGCAATAGAGGTATTGCTGAGCATACCTTCCAACCGTAAAAAGCAAAAGCAACCGACTTTCAAAAATGTACATTTAAAAAGTACAAATCCAGAAATAAAACAAAATAGATAAGCATGTAAAACTAAAGCATAGGGATAGATATCTGAAGAACAAATCCTATTACAGTTTTGTTGATGTGGTGTGCTTCAAGACATGGAACTTAAATTTGCTTCAGAAAAATAAATGAGAAGAGGCTTCAAAAACATTGACTCAAACTTTCAGTTAGTCAGACAATATCCACTTTTCCCAATATCTCTAATAAAAATGTGCAAGCCAAAAAAATATATTAAATTGGACCATTCATCGTTATATTTATAAACATACAACGGTCAGATCAACCTACAATGTAAAAAATTTATTGCACTTGGAAATTCATGGCTGTAAATTATTTTTCACCTCCCCTCTGAGCAATTTTAACTGCTGAGGAACTCAATGGAAAAAGAAATCCACCAAATGTCCCTGTTGAAGACAAAAATAAACAACAAAACTGGTGGAAGGGGTATACGACACACTAGCATTGAGGAACAATACTCTGCATTCTAGATCTGTATTCTGAAATATACTTTTTAAAACTAGAAACATATTTGCTGTAACACAACATAAATAAACACAAGACCATGACTGTCCCTCTTCCCAGCAAGTTTAATAGTTTACTTTAACTGGAAAAGGGCTTAAAAAAATAAAAATGCACCCAAACCCAGGATTCAAGACAAATTCTCCAACAGAAACCACTTGAAATTAGATATTGCACAGCCCAGGTTCCAATTTTTAAAAGACAAATGGAGAATACCCAATTAATATCCAATGAAAGCCAAAGGTCCTTTCCTCACACGCACAGATGGACCATACCAACAGTAGTAACAGACTGAAAGACCCACACTTAAGAAGTTCACATGGGGCAGCGAAGGAGCCTGCACAGAACACAAGCAAGGAGGATGCCATCATCAGTGAGTCATCAGTTTCTGAAGAAACAAAATAACTTGAGCTAATTGTTTGCATGAAAGAACACTTAAGTCCAAGATATCTACCACAAACCACAGGCTGGATAATAAAATTGCTGAGAGAAATTTTGTATTACTGTATTACAGGCCCTATTCTCAGGATAGGCCTTGTATTTTTTTTATGTGAATCAAGAATTTATGAGCAAACTCAGAATGACTTTGCTACTTGACCAAATTTAATGATAACTGTAAAAGTAAAAACCTATCAGTTGATAGTACCTTCCTTGCAAGTAGAATATTATATATCCTTCCTCAATAAGTTCATCAGAAAACCAGAAAAAAAAATCCAGAGAGAAGTAAGAGAGCATCAGAGGCACAGACAGTAGAGACAGAACAAATAAGATTAGCATAACATGGCACACAGAGAAAAGGAAAATAAGACTCCCAAAATAGAGGCCCAAGAGAAAATGATACAGAAAAGGTGAATTACACGGTACCATTTATGGTCTCATTAAAGAAAACCAGGAGCAAGAGCAGATGTTTCCAAGAGACATCAATGAGTAGAATAAGGAACAACACTTTCCCCCAGGTGATTAGATAGTACATGACTCTCTCAGTAATTGCTGTTTCCTGATTTTGAATGCTGGACAAATTTCCACATAGCTTTTGTTTCCCAAATGAACAAGTGAGGTGGTTATTTTTTTTTATGGATGTTTCTTTAAAAAGACATGATGAGCTTTGCCCAAAGAAATGACAGGCTTTGATCTCATCAGACCAGTGTATCAACGTGGGTCTCAGCCTTTCTAGATGCCGTATTTAGATAATACCTTGCCCAGTTCAGCATGCCACTTACTTGAGTGGAGTTTTCTCTCTCTCAAAAAAAGGTGGTCTGTCCTGCCAGCACCGTGGAATACAGGCAGTGACTTGCCACCTCAGACATTCTTCTCACCAGCAGCGGTAAGTGATCAGCAATGTTGGCTGGATGGGGATATAAGGGAATAGGCAAGAAAGAAGGTGCTTATTCTCCCTTCTCTCACCTCCTCCTGCTCCTGTCTGTGTATCACAAGCTTCAGTAATTTTCAGTCTTTTCCATATCTACACTACAACAAGTTTCCAATGGAGATGCAGGCCCCTTCAGCCATTTTGCAAATTAAAATCACTGCTCAGAAGGAAGAAGAAAGAAAAGTCATACATCTTGTCTAACTGTCTGATGAACCAGCAGGATGCGGACTCCTTGGCCACAGTCTTTACTCCAAAAAGCTATGTAACAGGCCTACAACACCTTTTTTATCTTGCACTCGTAGTCTCAAGGGCTTGGGACCCTGGGAAAAGGCAGAGTATCTCTTATACCCACATATATGTAATTTCTTATTTGCTAAAAGCATTAACCA